GGATGGATGGATGGATGGATGGATGGATGGATGGATGGATGGATGGATGGATGGATGGATGGATGGATGGATGGATGGATGGATGGAAAATCTGTCCTCTACTGTATAGAGGAGTGGCATAAAATACTTTGCAAAAAGCCATGTAGGAAAACATAGAAACTAGAATGTAAGAATGTCCACTGGACACTAGGTGTTAGAAAACTAAAACTACACATTTCTGCAGAGAAACAATTCCCACTGGCAACTGCATCATGTTGTGGGAGAACTTTTATCAAGGTGGTGGGAAATTAATGGGGATCTAAAGGTAACTAAATGCCTGGTGATCCTGGAAGGAAACCTGTTAAAGCTCCAAGAGGCTTCAGACTGGCCACAAAGTTTCCACTCCAGCTGGAAAACAACCCTAAACATACAACCAGATCCTCAATCAGTTGGTTTATATCAAAGAGTATTTATGTTGTACAATGACCCAGTTCTAGTTCAGCCCTAAATGTGACTATATGTGATAAAACTTGGAAATTGATGTACACCAATCCTTCAATGCTATTTAACAGAAGATGATCTATTTAGTAAAGAAGACTGGGCAAAATGATTCACTTAATATACAAAGTTGGTAGAAGTGTACCTCAAAAGACTTACATCTTGAAATGTGAATCTTCAACATTTACTCTGAGAGCAGAACAGAAAAAAAACAATTAGATTTAAAGAAATGAAAACCAATCATTGTTTTCCTTCTATTTAACAATTATGTGCTCTTCAATATTGTGTCACAACTAATTCCAAAATAAACTAATGACCCTCATAGAAAATTAGATATTGTTGGGATTCTTATAGCTCTTTCTTTGTTTTATTGTTTTGTCTCCAAGAAGCTGTTGTAGATCAGCTGTGGACAGGAAGGATCTCCTGTAGCTGTCTGTTTTGCGGGAGATTTAAAAAAATTATATTAAAGGGGATGCTCAGCATGGTACATAATGTTCCTAATTTTATAAATTATTATTCTTTTATCGTAAAATAAAGAACCTTATGTATGGATACATATCTTACATAATAAATTGTACGATCCACTATATAAGTATGGATCCTACAGTCCATCATGTATCACATCTGGATAAGAAATTTCCAGATATTGCAAATCATTTGTTTGCAATTAAAAGACAAGAAAAATAAATAAACGCACATTTGAACAGATCTGTAAATGAAGACTCTTTAGATGCAGTCAATTTCCAGATAAAATGTATTTAAATGTTACTTTAAATACATAAGCATTGCTGAAAATGATGTATTCATTTAATGTATATTTTTCAAAATATTAAAGAAATAAAAAAAATGTGTGATTGTTGTTATTTAAACTACCTAATCAAAGTATGTTTTAGCTGCAGTTTTATCAAACTGAACACCTTAATGTGAGTTTCTAAGCGAGCCCATAGAATAAACTCCGTTTACATCTTTTTTTTCTTTTTAGCTTTGTGATCAGGGTCATTGGTGTTGTTCATCTTTCCTTCTATCTGCCAGTTAGATGGATTTATGGTTATGCTGACTAAGCATTGCCCCATCATCATTCCTGCCCATTCAAATGCCACTGCATCTGGTGAAGGATTAATCACACTCAGACACAGACACCCTTACAGCCAGGCTCAGGAAAAGGTCCCTGCAGCAACCGTACTCAAACATTTTGATATTATTTGCATAGTGTTTACAAGCATTCTGTTACATGTCCTTAACAGGAGCCAGAGATTCCCAGGCATCTTGCTGCAAACAGTGGAGATATAAATGATTGATAACAAGATTTAAAATACAGCTTTTTCAATTATAGTTATACTTGTTACCCAGTGCTAAAACCACAAACTAAAATGGATTTTAATTTTATTTAATTTCCTAGAGTAAACCAATGTGCAGCATGGATGGCTATGAAGTATAGAAAAAGGATGTTTTTACAAATTCTATTTATACCAGCATAATAAATTCATTAGAGTAATAGGGAAATATTTAATTTCGATAACTTAATTCAATAAGTGAAACGCATCAAATTGTTTTAATGCTAATTCTGATGATATTTTTTTTCGCCACAGCTAATAAAAAACATATTTAATATACAAATTGATACTATTTAGGTATTTTATATGGATGCACGATATAATC